ACATGCCCCATTTTATATTTGCGCTGCCCTAAAAAAAGTATTGATTCTCCCCCCAAAAAAAACGGTGCATTGGTTTTGCTTTTTATGTTGTATATGAATTTGAGGATCGAGCTGAAATACTATTCTATGTATAATTTGGCTTTACACGCTACATTCAAATATGAGGCATCTATATATTTGTTTGGAGCATCAACATTAGCCAGTCATACTATTTATTTGTTGCGTTGAGCAAAAAATTTATTTATTTAAAAAATTGCATATACAAAGGGAAATTGTTCACAAATTTAATAAATTTAACAAAGATCCTTTGAAGAAGAATACTTATGTGAATCAAAGACTATTTACGAATTTTGATTGTTAAAAAATCAACAAGGTTTTTTTCCTAATTAAAAAAAAAAGTCTTTTATTTTGATCCTTTCCTCGTGTTTATTTATTTATCCCAGATTAAAGCTCAACTAGATTTCTATTTTTTCAAGAATAAGCTTCATGCAAACATCAAAAGTTATTTACGAATTTCGATTGTTAAAAAAAAATCAACTAAGCAGTGAAATACATTTTTGGAAATTGGATAAGAGGAAACAAAAAAAAAAAATATTACAAGGATAAGTTGCTCTCTTATTCAAAGAGCCATCCCATCCTGGAAGATGATGACTGTTTAGCAATTTGATTTTGATAATTAGTAGATTACAACTTCAGATAATTAGGCCAGAAGGTGTGATTTTAATGTCATATATATATACACAGCAAACCAGTTTTTACGAGTGGTAGAGGGTATTGTACTGTATTTTGAATCTTGGTTGATGAAATTACTTTATTTAATTCAACATCCACTGTGATAGTTCTTGGATACTAGTCATTCTAAATCATTAAGCAACCTGTTGAAGGATGAAAGTGAAGTTCAACTAATTAAAAAATTAATTCTTTCAAAATATTTTTTTTTACAAATTAAAACTATTACTAATATTTCTTCTTTTATTATTATTACATTTCATAAAAAAAACAAAACGCGTTCGAATTGTCTTCAATGCTTAAGGTTGAAACTCACATAGGCAGTAACTTTCACAAACATACGAGTTATGTTAACTTCGAATTTTGACTTTAACTACGCGTAATAGTAATAATACACAATAATATTAATAATAAAATCAAAACACGCTTTAATGCCTGAGTTTGAAGCAACATAGGTTGATCAATATTGGTACTTAGAACGACCTTTACATAGCACATAAGACAGATTTCGGTACAGATTTTGTAAGTTTAAATTTTGAAAATTTAAGTGATAAAACTGAAATTCTTTTATTGATAAATCAATCGCTAGTGATGAAGTTAACGTAATTTTCTTTTTTTTTTCAATTTATATTAAAATTACGAGAGAATCGTTTGTTGCACGCCACTCAATTCTCTGCAAAGAAAAGTAAGTTTTTAAACAAAAACGTAACAGCGAGTTTCGTGAAATACTGATATTCTGATTATAAAATCACATGACTCAATCACATAGATATATATTCGTTCAGAGCACTGGATGCAAAGCATCTTAGCATAATATCATGTATACATGATCAATGATGTAATCATTAATAAAAATAGACTATTTTATGGCTAGATGGTGCATTGATCAAGTAGTCTAATAAATTGCAGCAAAAACATATAAATAGACCTGCTATCCCCCCAAAAACATCACCAAAAACAATGCATAATTCTGCCTTTTATGTTGCATTCGAATTCGAGGGTCGAGACACGTAGTACCAAAATGGCGTTCCATGTATGATACACATTATATTCAAATACGAGGTATCTATAAATTCGTTCGGAGCATCAACATTAGCCAGTCATATTGTATACTATTATATCAATATTTTTATTTTATTCAAGGGAAATTGTTCACGAATTTAATATATTTAATAATCTCTCCCTTGATAATTAATAAAACAATAGGTGACAATGAAAGATACTTCATAAATGATCTTTAATAATTTAAAGACTTCCATGGTTTTAATGACGCCCAACTTCCTGTATATTGTTTTTTATCTCATGAAACAAGGCATTTAAATCAATATATTGACTTAATACATCATATTCATGACCAGAACCTAAAGTTAGATTTGTGTTGGAGATAATGATGAAGGTTCATCAAATAAATTTATTAACATCCAAGATCTCAATGATGATACATAGTGAAACATGGAATTACATAAATATTTAAATTACCAGTTACTATCAAATCATTTCTTGTAATTACATCGGACTCACTGTATAAAATGATTAAATAATTCGTTATAAAGTGAGTTAAAAAGTAATAGTAATTATTAGCTCATAAGAAATAAATCCACCATTCTAACTATATATAGATTCAACCACTGCACCTCTTACTTGACTTTATCATCTGCCAGCTCGTTTCTTTGTTTTCTTTTAACTTGTAAAGATCGTTGTTTTAATTAATTAACTACCTTTTTTTTTTTTACAAATACATTTAAGAAATTCACTACGTTGTGATCTTTGAATTATTTAAATAACTTAAATTTTTTTTTCTTGGCATTTTTTAAAGGGGAACACGTGTTAATATTGATTAATTAATATTAATATATTATAAAGACGAAAAGTTGGCCATGTAACTATTTTTCTTATTTAAGTTCTTGTTGAATAGAATGATCATTGATTTGTTTATATGTGGGTCACGTTTTTTGTTTAAAAAAATTTGCGGGCGATTGATCATTAATTTTTATTTTTGTGATATAATAGGGCGCAACATAGTAAAATTTTCTTTCCTTCTATTCAAAAAATTCGAACCAAAAGAATACTTTTTAGAGTCTTGATATTAATTTTAAAATCAAAGATCCTTTTAATGAATTTAATAAATTTGTAACATTAAAGTTATTTATAAAATCTCAAATGATCTAATTATTTGCAGAACAATATATCGGCTCATCCTGTTTTGTTTGTGTTGCTTATAATTAAATAGCTATATCATTGAATAGTAGAAAAATACTCATATCACATTATAAAATATATATTAGATATAGCAATAAAATAAGAGAATTACTATTCATACCCGGTGGGTATAATAATACCCAAGTGGTACCATTAAAATAATAAAGATCGGCATAAAAATTTATTTATTATAACCAGAGTGTTATTATACATTTCATTACGAATTTTAAATACTGTTTCCTCTCTTTCATGTGATAATGATGATAATAATTTATTATGTGACATTATATAAAAATATAAAATATAAAATTCGACTTGGTGTTTAATAAATGAGAATAACTTTTTCTTTGCGGAGCGGAGAATTGAATGACGTGTAACAAACAATTTTTTCGTATATTACATGATTAAATTGATGATGATAATAATAATAAGGATGTATTTAATTATTAGAATCTAATGCAATCAAATGTAAATAAAAAATATTGTTAGTAATAATTAACGGATAGTAATCTCCGATTAACTAATTAATTAATGAAATTTTTATTCACCATCAACATTTTAGAGAAAAGAGTTAAAATCAAGATTATTTAACGAACTATCATTACTTGTATAAATTTTCAAGCTTTTTGATTTAGCGATCTCCTCATCTAAGATTCTACTTGTATGATATGCATCTGGATGTGATTTGTATGCTTGTTGCAAATCACTATTACCACCACCGCTGCTGCTACCATGTTTTTTGATTTTAGGAAATTTGAATAATCTTTCTATTAAACTATTATTCTTACTATTATTATTTTAAAAAATTCATTACGTTTATTTCCAGCAAAATCATAAAGCTCTCTACTAGTTGGTCTTTTTGATGGATCCACATCCCAACACCTCTGCATCATTTGCACATAATCATCAGGCATTTCAGGTAATATTGGTGGTCGTAAACCTTCACATATATCAAAAATCAAACGATGATTGTGAGCTCTATCATCAAATGGTGGATGACCTGCAAATATTTCCCACATTAACATCCCAACACTATAGATATCAGATTCTTTGGTGTTCTTTGTATAAATTTTGCCTCTAAGTAGTTCGGGTGCAACATATGATACAATTCCATAGACTTTATTTGATGACTTTTCATCAACTGGTCCACATAATCCCAAATCTTTAATATAACAACCACCTCCTTGCAATAATATATTACCACTATGTAAATCACAATGGATTAAATCTTTTTCATAAAATATTGTCATTCTGTCTTTTAATGTTAAATTATGATGATTTTTTTGTAAATAATCCCTTAAATTTCCCTCTAAATAATTTAAAACTATTGCATAATTTCCAATATCTGAGAATTTGGTTATACCATGGCATTGAACAATCAATGGTGCTTTAATTTTAGAATAATTCATTGCCTGTAATTAAATAAAATCAATTAGCATTATATAATACATTATTGTTTTAAATGACAACTACCAACCTCATCAAAAAAGGCCTTTCCTGGATTGCTTGAATTGTTTAAACTTTTTAATACTACTAGTTGTCCTCCAAAATAACTAAATTCCTTTTTATTTTCATCATAATCATTAATACCTCCTCTTGTCCATGTAGCAGTATAAACTGAACTAAATCCACCTTCAGTCAACTTTGTTACTTTTATGAATTGCTCAAAAGGTACCCACTCTAAAATATAGTTTGGCAGAGATGATTTCATTTGACATTGTTGAATAAAGTTGTCAACTATGTTATTTTCAGATGTCCAAGTGGTGAAAAGACTCTGTAATTGTAAACTAATACAACCTTCACAGAACCTATCAGAGTATATTGTCAATTTA